TCATGTCTGAGCGAACGACTAATAACTCCACGTTCCATATTTAAAGACGTACGGGGCATTTCTTAATTCAGTTTTAACAAGACAGTGGCACGTGCATTTCGGTCGCCATGAATACGCTCCTCTTCCTTCTCGTACTTGCCAGCGCCACGGCTCTCAAATTACGTAAGTCCTTCATACACACTCCTCTACCAAAAACGCAATGATTCTGAACTCGTATAACAGCCGGCAGATAATCCTCCATCTTGACAGTTGAGCGAGGACTACCAAACCCTCTCAACATATAAGATTTGAGACTTTCGCGGCGAGTACAATCAATAAAATCTTTTCGGGAAATCAGCCGCGACAACTGGTTACCATAGTAAACCAACGTTTCGGGACCCACCTCTGTCCCCATCATCAGGGTTGGTTCCCGAAACGTTTGTTTACTGCGGTAACCAGTTGACGCGGCTTTTCCTCTCAACATATTTTGTAATTTTACACAAACAATAATTCATTTCTTGTTCGTCCCTGGGTTATCTAGCGGTTCTGTTTCAAACGTAGACGACATAAAACATCGAATGTGATGTAATTATTAAATCAGGTATCAATTAAGAAAGTAAGATTTCAGTAGAAGGTAATAATGGCCTACTTTACCTTAATATTTTCTGATTTTTTTTCAAACTGCTGCGATTAAATACGATAGGAAACAGAACATAACAATGTACATCACAAACAAAAGGCTACGCTACTCTAATCAACACCATGAATCGTTATTAAAGTCATGGCACTCAAAAATTAAAGAGTTTTTTTAAGAACAAAATTTTATCACTTCACATAGCGTTTTAGCTTCCGTTCCTCTCTTAAGGAAAAACGGAAGCTTGTGATACCACCTTACTCTCGTTCTTCTTTCATGTCCTGATCTGGTTTTAAGATGGCCAAACCCTATACTTCGCTGTTACGGCGGACGCATAAAATTGTGAGGTATTACCGATACCAGCGCCATGATCATAAAAGAACGAATTAATAGGTCTTCATAAAAATTAAACTTTTACGGTAACTCGTGATTACTAAATTCCTGGACTTTGTCTATTATCTGGTATTCAACGGAGCACAACGTTTCGGAAACTGGATCTATTTCCGTCCACAGGTGAAAAGGAACGGGGTCTTGCTCAGTTGCGTCCGTTAGAAACAGATAACCTCGGTCACTGGTCACTGGCCTAGTGGTGTAAGTAAGTGGACGATGGAAAAAGCCCAAGTATTTAGTAATCTCTAGAATAACACGCCATCGTTAGGACCCATTAAAATATACTTTTACGGTAACTGTTTCGTTGAAAGTAAAATAGTAACTTGGTGGTTCATGAGGCATTGAAGCTATTTGTATGTTTACATTAACCCACTCTGATTAATTAAAAAGCAAATAAGGAATATTTTCCCATTTGTGTATTTATCGTTTCTCTTTCAGTTTGATGTTTTACGTATCTATATTTCGACTTTGCATTTTTTTAATATTAAAACGCCTTATTTCTGTCAATGACGACATATCGATGTTTTATTTCTAGTCATACCTTTATGGACGGACGCTTTTTCTATTTGAGAGCACATACGGAATATCGCAGACTTTTTTACCTCCAGCTTCAGCTGTGCATTTCGTTACTGTATATAACATGTTTTAACAAAAACATTTGCTCCCTTGAGGGCACTTTCTCTATACAAGGCAGTGTCTAGACTTGTAATTTGTAATTAGTTACCAACTGGGAGATCTACGAGTAGATAAAGGTGCTATTAAAGTGTATCTTAAAGAAAGAATGGATTCAAGTTGTTAATGATGTATATCAATGACGGGTTCTTATAAATACTTCAATAGAGCTTTATTTTCCACAAATGGTTTAGGATTTATTGACCAGCTAGTCTAATACCAGTTTATCAATATGTTTTCTTTCCAATCACTTCACGCTTTCATTAACAACTTTCTTAATTCTGCAGGGTTCCCGTTTTAATTTTAATTTTGTTTTGTTTTGAATGGATGAAGTCATCAGTGTATACTCCGTGCATCTTATGACAGTACAGATAATATTGGTTCATTTCAGCTAACTACGTAAAGAAATGCTCCATTAAGGACCATAATTTCAACACGTGTGCCCTGGAGAGCGCCAAATATGCTTTGCCACATCTCATCAAAGGTTGGTGTTTCCAAGTTCCAGCAGTGTTCTCACATTAATTTCTGAAACTAGTATCAAAAATAAATGCAAGTTTCTTTTAATTACTTACATACCTGAATGCATGTCTTTCAAATAAATTATCTGATTTCGGAATGTAATTTTGTTTCACTTGCGATAATTTTAAGTTACCAAAACACTTCAGACTTGTTCACTCGCTTCAGTATAGACCTGGTAGTTGTGTCTAGACCAAGATTCTGAAACCGGTGTGTTGCCAGAAGGCTTCAGGTATACCGCAAATTTTTTATAAGAAATCATATATTCGTATGTTATACTCGCAAGAAGGCAATATCTTTCGAATCGATTTTGTTTTGAGGCAAGTTTGGCTATATAACCTGCACATGGCATATTTTGTTTTTGTCTGTATCTAAAGTACATCTAACAAATAATCTTATACAGTAAAACCTCTCTAAC